AACTTGAGCGTCTTCCCAGGTTTTCATTTTCAACCACAGGTGTCAAATAAATTTCTCTGTCACCTCAGTACGGGTGGTGCCATACCTGGGCCTGGGGGATCTATGTCTGGGTAGACCTGAGCAGCAGCTGGAGGGTTTGTGACTGTCACAGCTAGCCACTGTGGCTCTGAATTCCTGCAGTCCTGGGTGGGCACCAGGAATCTGAGTTTCAAGCACTGAGTCCAAGCAGAACGGCCCCAGGGTTTGCCGTCTCTGCAAAGCAGCGACTGTGACATTGAAGTCATGTGGGTCTGAAAGTCACTAAGACTTACAGTTGCCAGTGCCCGGAAGAGACCATGGAACCTTGCAAGCTGCGGCTGGCTCCTGGGCAGTTGCAGTCACATGCCCCTGGCAGACACTCTGGCACTGAAGTCAGGTGACCTGGTGGACTCCAGGAGATGATGCGTTGCAGTACCCAGCAGTGCCCTGTGGGGCCAACGCTGGGCAGGCTGGGGTGGTGGCAGATGGGTATTGGGCAGTCACAAGCACCTGGCACCATCTCTGCACTCAGTGCGACAGGACCCCGGGCAGTAAGCAAGGGATCAAGGTCATGGGACAGTTGTGAAGTGACTCAAAGGGCCCTGAGTCACTCAGCAGCCATCGGTCACTGTGGGCCGTCAGACCTGGGCAGTGGCTGGGGAGCTCGTGCTGGGGCAGGATTGAGAAGATGCTGACGATGGAGGATGCGCTGCAGGGTGTGTACCCCCAGTGGCCGCACACCCACCCGATGCGCCCTAATCTGGCTGTGCACTGTGCATCCTGGAGAGTATCCTTGGCTGAAGCAGGTTATTCCCTAGCTGTCAGGTGGTGAGCCTGAGTCTGTATCTTGCTGTCTCTGGCTTCAACCAGCACCTGTTTGCTGGAGGCGGATGGTTTCCCCTCAGGATCTGTGACAGCACAGCTTCTACCTGCAGCCCTGGGCTGGAGCACCTGGACAGTAGCCACCTGCCAGCCCAGCCACTTCCTGTTTTGACCCTTCGGTCCTTGCTTCCTGTTGTATTCTCGTACATATGAGTATAGGGTTGGAGGGTTGGAAGGTTTTGTCCTCGATGCCAGCACCCCCCTCCTTCCCCCCACACCATCAACCCACCCTCAGAGTCTTGGCTTTGGAGCCATGCCCAGCGGTGCTCAGGAGATCCTCCTTGCTGTGTGCTTAGCGCACTGCTGTATCCTGGGCCCTGTGATCTCAGTCCTTCATGATATCCAGTTCTTTCCACGCCTGAGGTGTTGGTGACGGCACTGACTTCACATTTCCTTCTTGAGGTTTTCTGTCAACCCCAAGTAGTCTCGGGTTGTGGTCACCCATCCTAGTTTTCCTATTAATTAGCTTCAGCGAGTCAGTCTGCCTAAGGCTCTTGTATTACTCTTTTCTAAATTGTGATGATAATACTTTTCATGGTTGTTGGATATATCCAATAAAATGTTAAATGTTACATTTTCTGGCACACAGTAGGCCTCGCTTAATTAAGCTCGCTCATTTCAGTTCTGCTCTTATTACTAGAATTCAAATTTCTGTTCCATTAGCTTGCCCAGTTTCTAAAATTCGAAACACAAAGATCCAGTTAATTTAATTAGATAGCTAAATTCATCAAAGAGCTATTATTGGAGCTTGTAATTCATGAACTGTTGAAAATTCTAACATCTAAATTCTACAAATTGTTCCAGGGGAAAAATAAATAAATCTTACTGTGTCAGTTCAGATTTGGTTTCTGATTCTAGTCATTTTCCCATTTCACTTAAACCCTAGGAGTTATCTTTAGCAATCTAATTTTGTAGGTAAGTAATATAGCAAAATCCAGCTGTAGTTTGTGAATTTTGCATAGTTATTTTCTCCTTATAAATTGAAATATTGTTTGTTTATTTATTTTTAAATTTTTATTAGTGAAACACCATGACATACAGTTGTAGACTTACAAATTTTTGTCCTTGGGTTTCAGTTATACAATGATCAAGTACCCATCCCTCCACCAGTGCCCATTCTCCACCACCAATGATCCCAGTATCCCTCCCACCCACCCCAATTCCCCCCATCGCATCCCTCCTCTGTGGTAGGGCATTCCCTTTTCTCTCTCTCCTTTTGGATGCTGTGATTTGCAAAAGAGGCATTGAGTGGCAATCATGTTCGGTCTATTAACCTGTCATTAAATTTAATAGGTATCAGTAAGTTTTTGCACAGGCTAATTTATGTTCAGATTTGTATTTTCAGATTTTCTTGTGTCAGTGATTTCCATTTTTATCACTATTCACCTTGTGTTTTGATTTTAAAACAGTATTTTTATCATTGGAAAATAATTTTAAATTCCTGGTTTGGTGCTTTTTGTTTTGAAAATGAAAAACTAACATGGAATCAATATCACGTTACAAATTCACCTAGTAATGTCGTTGTGGAAAGTTTTTTTATTTACAGTAGGTTGTTATTTTTATGTCATAATCTGTAATAGGAAATTCAGTCTCAGGAAAAAAACATCTTTAAAAGCTATCATTAGAGATGACCCATGCTATTTTCATAACTTATTAGCTTTAGTGTTTTCAAGTGGTAGCTATAAATAAAATTATGTTTTATCTAATTATTATGTGGGAAATGTTTTTAAATCTATGAATTAATCTTTTAATTTTTAAATGACTGTGGAAAGATTGAGAGGGCTATGGGGTACAATAGTAGCTTTTATTTAACATAATTTAGATGACTTTAATGTGTTTTTAATTTCTTGTAATTTCAGTGATAACATTGAAAGCTATGATTTGACAAATAATATGAACACTAGAGGAGGACATAAACAAGTAGAAATTTTGAAATATGGTCAGTAGAGAGTACTCTAAAATTTTATTCTGTCCCAGTGGTGTAGCAGAAGTGCATTGATTTAGTTACTCTCAACTATGGATTTATCTTTCACAACTACTTATTGAATATTTTACCATGCAAAGGACACCGTGATAAGTTAAATTCTTCAAGATGCCAAAATGACACAGATCTTGCACTCAAGAGATTTTCTTTAAAACAAGGCTAAAGACAAGTCAGAACCAACTATAGAACAGATAGAGAATACAGCTTGTGGAAGACTCTGTGTGTGTGTGTGTGTGTGTGTGTGTGTGTGTGTGTGTGTGTGTGTGTGAAGATTTGCTCACGTTGAACAAATCTTCTTTAGAAAGACGTGAGGGGAAAATGGAAGAAATATATATTGAAGAGATAATACAGTCTTCTCCAGAGTGGAGAAAATAAAGAGACGTAAAGACAGGCTAGTGAGATACATATTTAAGGGGAAACTCAGGCTTGCAAAGTAAACAAGAAAACATTTTTTAAGTTGTTATAAATTATCAAAAGAGGAAAAAAATGTTCAAAAGAAAGAAAAGGATCAAGCTTTTAGGGATCAAGATGCTTTACCCGAAATGAAGGAATGAGCACACACTTTTTGGTAGTGAAAAGAGTGAGGTGAGGGCACTGGGGAAACCCACAAGTACAAGGACAACCTACAAGTAAGAAAATTCAGGGTATTCAGTTCAAGAACTTTGAGCAGTTTTGTTTGTGTTGCATGATGAAACAAAGCAGTATTTCTTTTTTATTTTTAATTAAAAAAATTTTTAATAGTGAGACATCATGAGGTACAGTTGCAGACTTACACATTTTTGTGCTTGGGTTTCAATTATAAAAAAAAAAAAAGGTAAAGGCCCTCCCGTTGATCATCGATTTGCTCGAGCAGGCCCAGTAACGTCTCCATTGGAGACTTTGTTGTTACTGTGTTTGGCATATCGAATACTCTCGGTAGCTTGCCAGGCTCTCCGAGAGGGGCGGAGGAATCGAGCTCGGGTCGGCCATGTTGGCCACTTGTAAGGCGAACGCCCTACCGCTGTGCTATCGCTCCAGCCGGCCTTGGGTTTCAATTATACAATGATCAAATACCCATCCCTCCACCAGTGCCCATTTCCTACCACCACGGATCCCAGTATCCCTCTCACCCCCCATCCCCCCCATCTCACCCTGCCTCTGTGGCAGGGCATTCCCTTTTGTTCTCTCTCTTAAAGCAGGATTTCTTTAGAAGACAGACCAGATAGTTAGTTCAAGATATTTTATAGAGAATGATAAAAACTTGGTTATGAACATGATCAAGTAGATAAAGAGGAATGCTTGAAATTTTTTTAAAATAGAGGAGACAGTTATAACTGCATCTTAATAAGCTTTAACTGAGTTTTGTTAGAGTAGTGAGAGATATAGACACGGAGATTACTTGGACAACGGACGGTAATCTAGATAAATGGTATTAGAGTACTTAGCATGGAATAATAACATTGGTAATTTTAAAAATAAAATAAAATAGGACTTGATGCAAGTAAAATAAACGGTAACAGCCAAAAATGTGTCTTACTTTAAGTATTATGACATTTAAAACTTGAAAGCTAATTAATACACTCTAATGACATTTAAAACTTGAAAGCGAAAATTTTCTGGGTTATTGTCAATGAACAGATTTAACTGAAAAACTTGACGGAAAACAAAAGTTCTTCCTCTAGCCTGTTTGAAAGCAGAATTGGAGTACTGTAAGTGCACTTTCTAAATGTAGAAAATTGAGAATACTATACTTTTCTAGTTCTCCCTCATCATGCTACCAAAGGAAGAAACAAAAAAGCATGGTGAAAAATGATGGTGTTAAGGGCTAGGATTAGAAAAGCCGTAAGATTGATAGCAGCCGAAATAATGAAGATCATACGTCCAGTACACCAGGAATATGCCCGGAAGTTCCCAGCTCAGTGCTGAAAAGTGTCTGTTTGTCGACATGTGCTTCATATTTAAGTAAAGAGAAATAAGAGCAGAAAAATAGATTTTCTTTTCACTGTGAAGGCAATAAAAGTGAAATATAACGCAAACATTGTCTTTCCACAGAATTTTGACCACATTTGTAGCAAAGCCCCCCATATTGTCATACTTTATAAGTTAAAATAATCCACCACTTTTTAAATCATTTCAGATGTAAAAGATAATTCTTTCAGTCGCTCACGAAGTTCCAGTGTAACCAGCATTGATAAAGAATCCCGAGAAGCGATCTCCGCTCTTCATTTCTGTGAAACTTTCACTCGAAAGGCAGATACATCACCTTCCCCCTGCTTATGGGTGGGAACTACACTGGGGACCGTGCTTGTCATTGCACTGAATCTCCCCCCGGGGGGAGAGCAAAGACTTCTGCAGCCAGTAATTGTGTCTCCAAGTGGTATGTATGTGCGGATGCCGGCTTACATTCAAGGTGTGGTTTGCTGTACTTCCATGGAAAACTCATTGATGGTTGTTACAGTGCTGTGTTTTTACGATGGACCACAAAAGGAAGATTTTAGAATATCCCCTATTGATCTTTAAAGCCATTCAAGTCCTCTACGTTTTTTTTTTTAACTCTAAGATCATGTCCAGATTGGTTACTAGATAAGAAAAAGAGGAAAAGAAATTTGCACTAATAATGCATTCAGGATATCTTAAGATATAGTGTTCCACAAGCAAGAGAAATCTGTATTTAGAAGAATAAACATGTTTTAATGTATTTGATTTCTTAAGTGTTAAATTTCAAAGACATTTCAAAAACAAATTTTTTCAGTTATCCAGGGAAAGGTGACTGAAGAGGAAATTTTAAAAAGAAAAATTTATAATTATTAAAAATTAGTTGAATTAAAGTAAATATTTATGGGTTCTGTGAGATCTGAAATTGCTGGCTTCCGTAACTGATTTACATTGGATTAGTTAGATAAAACCTTTACTGGGCCAAAAAACAGTCGAAGGCTGGAGCACTTGCTTTGCATGCAATGCCCAGGTTCAATTCCTGATCCTACGTGGTCCACTAATCCTTCCTGGGACTGACACCTGAGCACACAGCCAGAAGTAGTTTTTGAGCATCACCAGGTGTAACCTGCCCCACACTCTTTAAGCATAATGAAAAAAAAAAAAAAAGTCAAAGGAAACTCCAGCAACTTTGGTTTTTCTCTTATATACTGGCTTAAATAACACTAGGAATGTAGAATTAAGATAAATTATGATATAACATTCATTTTTGAGATATGTTAAAGAAGCAGTTTAACGGGCTGGTGAGAGTAAGAGGTTTTGGCACTTGCCTTGCACGTGGCTAGCTCTTTGGTTTGATTTCCTGCACCCCATGCAGTCTTCCGAGCACTTCCTGAGCATCAGGTGCTGTATGGAGAGCAGGAGTTAAAGACATGAGCACTATTGGAAGTGGCCTAAACAAACCCCAGCCCCTAAAAAAAAGCAGTTTAATTTATTCATTCAGCTTCACAGTTATGAATATAAACTGTATGTCAAACTGTGAGATACTTTGTTACTTATAAGTAGCAACCAATGTTGTATAGAGGGAAAAACCTTGGAGGCAGAAATCAAACTATTAACAGTTATCACTAAATACGTAAAGGTAAAGGCCCTCCCGTTGATCATCGATTTGCTCGAGTGGGCCCAGTAACATCTCCATTGGAGACTTTGTTGTTACTGTATCTGGCATATCGAATACGTCATGGGGAGCTTGCCAGGCTCTGCCGTGCGGGCAAGATACTCTCGGTAGCTTGCCGGGTTCTCCGAGAGGGGCGGAGGAATCGAACTCGGGTCGGCCATGTTGGCTGCGTGCAAGGCAAACGCCCTAAATACGTTACATTGGGGAGAATTTTTTTTATCTGATTTGTAGTCTCTGCATTTTCTAAAACTAATAGTTTATAATAACAATTAAGTGTTTCCAATTAAAGTGAGGGGTAAATATAGATAATTTAAATTGACCACATAAAATTTATATTCTAGCCAGTAGTAAAGTGTCGGGGTCCTGGCAAGTCGACCCTGGCACACTGGAGTATACGATCCCCCTGGTCGCCAGACTTAATCCCTATAGGAGAGGGAGTGAGCAGGAGAGAAGCACCTGGGACTCCCACTGCCACCGAGAAAACCGCATGGAGGGGAGAAAGCTGGTAGTCAATCAGCAACCTGTTTATGAGCTCTCACAACAGGAGTTTTTATACATACATTTCAGGTGCAGTCCACATGTATGATGTTTACTTTGTTTACCTTGTCAGGCGCAATATAGATGTTAATGATTTACATCTCCAGCTTTCAGGGCCAGGTGTATCTGCTCAGGCAGATGGTAACTATAATATCCCTCATCCTCAACCAGAGTGCCTAAGTGCTGGAACAAGCCCCTGGTCCCTGTAAACAGGGCCGGCTCTTTCTTTCAGGGACAGGGGATTTGGTCAAAGTCTCAGGCCGGCTACTGAGACCCCAACAGTAAAGTTAGTTATAAAATTATTTTAATATAGAAATAATGTTTGGCTCGATGGTTGACTTTTTAAAATTCTTTTTTTAAAAATAGTTGTATTAGGGACCAGAGAGATACTACAGGCATTAAGGCACTTAACTAATATTCAGCTGGCCCCAGATTCAATTCCTGGCACCAAAGATGGGCCCCTTAATACCACCCCTACACATACACACACAAAATAATAATTAAAAAAAATTTTTTTTTCAAAATAACCCCCATCACATAGACAGTCCAGAGCTTAGGGTGTGTGAAAGGATCTCCTCTTCCTGATGCACATCAGATATAGCCCTGGAGACCCCTGACCCCGACAGGATTCCCCTGGGGATCTGTAGCATTACAGGACCCACACATACAGTCTTGGCTTCTGTCTTATACTAAGAACGTATTATATACCTGAAATTTAAATTTAACTAGGCATCCTTTATTTTATCTGGTTGTCCTGCCATAGGTAAGTATAAAAAAGAAAAAGGTTAGTATTTATTAAGGAGAAATTTTGAGACAACACTGAGAAATCCTTCTCTTAGAAGTAAAATTTTAAAAAAAGTGAAAAAGAACTGCAAAATATGAAATTGAAAATAGATAGTATTAAAACTGTAAAAACAAACTTCAAAACAAGATCCAGAATACTGATCAATTCTCCTTCCAAGTCCTTACAATTAACTGTTAGCATGAACCCAAAAGATAGTTACACTATCAAGACATTGAAGGAAAAAGGATTTCCACTAATTAAGGCAAGTAAAGACATAGGCTTAAATGAAGGATTTAAATTAGCCAAAATAATGCCTTTCCTGTATTTGACACATACTAGTAAATAATTTAGAATGTAGTTAATTTTTGGAGGAATTTTTAAAGCTACATGGGAAATTTTTCTCATTGTCCCCCTAGATCAGTACTTCTTATTAAAAATCACGTAATATACATACAGATCTAATGTTTTCTAAATGCTATATTTTTAAAAGTAAAGGAATAGTTAAAATTTAAGAATAAAATTGCTGAGTGTCCAGAATTTATTATTTCAGCATGTGAACCATATTTTAAAATAATATTTTGTGATTGAATAAAAATAAAATTATGTTGCATATTAACTTTAAAAAATCTGTTCTAAGTCTTCAGCTACAACCTGTAACTCTTACAACACATCACAGTTCATTTGTTTGAGTAAACGGATTTCAGATTTGTTTGGGGGGTTGGTTTTGTTTGTTTGTTTTTGGTTTGTTATTGGTTCATATCTAGCGATGCTCAGGATTTACTCATGGCACCGCTCAGGGGACCACATGGGGTTCTGGGGAATCGAACCCGATACGGCTGTGTGCAAGGCAAGCACCCTACCCACTGTACAATTGCTCCAGCCCCAGATTTAAGTGCTCAGTAGCTCACATGTCTGTAGGTACCATGTACTCAACTCTCATACCTCCTGGAGTATGCCAAGTATGAGAGAACTTAAGAGTTCCAGATATCACAGCATGTGTTTGTTTATTTGGCAACACTTAAGTTGGGGGGATTTTTTTCTTTCAATTTTTTTTGGGGGGGTCACACCCGGCAATGCACAGGGTTGACTCCTGGCTCATGCACTCAGGAATCACTCCTGGCGGTGCTTGAGGGACCATATGGGATACTGGGAATCGAACCCAGGTTGGCTGCATGAAAGGCAAATACCCGCCATGCTATCACTCCAGTCCCGTCTGCCAGTTTTTTAATGTCATTCTGAAATTGAATCCCTTCTGTAAGCCAGTGTACAATTTCAGTTTAATATCATACGTATTTTTAATGTCTCTACTATGTGGCAAAGTTGGAATAAACATTTTTGCCCTTGACTGAAGATTTTTGTTGCCTACTAAACTTCTGTGTTGTAGGTACTATTTTGAGGTTGAAAGGGGCGATCCTGAGAATGGCATTCCTGGATGCCACCGGCTGCTTGGTGCCACCTGCATACGAACCCTGGAGAGAACCCAACGTTGCTGAAGAAAAAGATGAAAAGGAGAAATTGAAGAAACGCCGGCCTGTCTCCGTATCCCCCTCTTCTTCTCAGGAAATTAGTGAAAACCAGTATGCAGTGATATGTTCTGAAAAGCAAGCAAAAGTAATCTCACTGCCAACCCAGAACTGTGCTTATAAGCAGAACATTACAGAAACCTCATTTGTGCTCCGTGGAGATATTGTAGCTTTGAGTAACAGTATCTGCCTTGCTTGTTTTTGTGCCAATGGACATATTATGACTTTTAGGTAAGGGTCACATTTTTCATACCAACATGGCATTTTCTACCCCGAAGCTACTGCAGAATTGCATTCCAAAAAATTTTGACTTGTGCATAGCAATACAGTACTATAGTCAGAGTATTTATTTTCAGTTTGTATATGAGAATACAAATCTGTTACATTTCCAATTCAGGTCAGCTAAAGCAAATATAGTATAAACTTCGTTCAAGACTAAAAATTACTTTTATTATTTTTTATTAACAAATTTTTACCTTTTTTCCCTTAAGTTTGCCAAGTTTAAGGCCTCTATTGGATGTGTATTACCTGCCACTTACCAATATGCGGATAGCCAGAACGTTCTGCTTCACCAACAATGGGCAAGCGTTGTATCTTGTTTCACCTACAGAAATCCAGAGACTCACTTACAGTCAAGAAACCTGTGAAAATCTTCAGGTAAATTACATAAATAGTGATATAATTTCTTCAAACGTGAAATGTTCTTTATAGATCCTTGAGTACCCGTGTCATAGACTCACTGGAGTATACAACATAAGCTTATGTTTAGGACTTCTATGTATAGAATCTTTTAGTCGAAGTTTCAGAGCACGTGCTCTGAAATACGGTAAAGTAACTTCATCTGATTGTTATTATAAGATGGATTTACTTCGTTGATCCATACCATATTCTTTCTTGTCACTGATGACCAGAAGATGTGAACTGTGACATATATTCACATAGACTGAATAGCTAATTCAATGCAAATTAATTTTCTGAAGAATCTAATTCAAAAGGCTGAAGCGCATCCTAGCATCTAGGTTCCCGTATTTGATCCTGCCATGATAAGTTCCCTGGAGGCCCCTGATTGCCTCTGGGGTGGCTGGACAGGCCATGGAGGCCCCTTCCAGTGCCTTAGTGCCTGGCCCAAGCATTGAACTGCCTTCTCAGACTGGGCAGGTATCACCAGGAGAGCTCCAGTCCTGCTAAGGCAGGCCCCGCAAAATAATTAATACCTATTTCCTTGGGACTAAGCCATGATCTCGAGCAGAATCTACACTCTTCATAAGAATGCCACAAGAGAAAAGGTTTGGGGGTTTTCCTCTCAGTATTTTTGTTGATCACTTTGTGAGAAACTAGTTATTCCTTTACATCTAAAACTTCTTTTGCACATGTAGAAAATGATCAGTTTATTTTCAGCTTTAACATGACTGCCCATGGGCCAGAGAGTATACGTATAAGGCATGTGCTTTGCACATGGCCAACCCTGGTTGGATTCCTGGCACCACATGACTCCCCATACATCTCTGGGTGCATCACAGGATGCAATTTCCAGGGTGCACAGGTAATTCTTAGCACTCAGGGCTCTTGCAGGCCCACATCCTTGAGCCCTCCTGTTGAACTGAGGTCCCAGTTGGCTGAGAATTGCCAGGTAGGGGCACCCAAGAGCAGTCCCATCAAGACAATCCCAGATAATTTCCCCATGACATGATAATGAGATCACATTTGCTTAAGAGTTTTTTCTCTTTACAATGTAGCATTTGTAGGTTTCCGGGATTTAGACCTGAACTTTTCATAGGCCACTTGTTTGGCCATCTCCATGGGGAAAATGAAGGTTTTCAAGAAGGCCATGGCTCATTAGTGAGGAGTAGATAGCCTTAAATTGAGTATGGCTTCAGACTATGCTAACAATTCATAAAAGCAGGCCCAAGAGGATTGAAATATTTCCCAATACCCCAGAATGCATCTCATGGCAATTTAACAGTTGTCAGAAATATTCAGCATTAGACGGGGTAAAAGTCAAAGGATGTGGCATCTAGCCAGATTATCAGGTATGAAGATACAGGAAAACACAACTGTGATGTGCATAACCAGTAGCAATCAAAGCATAACTGAAACAGATGTTAGAATCGGTTCAGAAAGACCAGAAAGTTTTTTAACTGTGTTAAACATAATCATATGCTAAAAAGCTTGTGAAGTATGGAAGATACAAGAAGACCAAAACTGAACTTGTAGAGATAAAAAACTGCAATGCTTAAGATGAGAAAGATTATAAAATGTGTAAGATTGGCAACAAGTTAGATAGTGCATAAGAGAGGAAGTTACTAGAAAGCTCAGAAATAGAAAAAATAACTATTTAGATTTGGAAAGTCTATAACACTAAAAACATATTATGAAACAAGTTCTTATCAAATCTGTGATGTCAACTTTTAAGAAATGACAAAGTTAAGTCCAGAGTAAGTAGAAGAAAGAAAATAAACATTTAAGTGGAAAACAGAAGAATCATAGAAAAAAAATCAGTGAAACCAAACTCTGGTTCTTTGATCAGTAATATTTATTGCAAGCAGTTATAAGATATAAATTATGTAGAAGATATGAGATAGAAATTATAGATTATCATTATAATGAAAGGTGATTCTATAAATACTACTGTAGACCCCATAGATATTAAAATGAATAATTATTATTAAGTGTGACAATTAGAACTTTCAGATGGTCCCTTTTGTTGAAGGTAGTGACGTGGGGCCCCACCTGACTGTGGTTAGGGCTTATTTCTGGCCCTGTGCTCAGACCTGGCTCTTGGTGGTTTGGGAGGCTTATGTGTTGCTAGGGAATCAGACTGGCTGTGTGCAAGGCAATCGTCTTAACCCCTGTACTCTCTGGCCCCAGATGGTCACATTTTTTTTAAGAGATGCAAATTACTAGAGGTGATTTAAAGAATAACCCAAAGAATATTGTATCTATTTGAGAATTAAAAATACGTTGGAAATCTTGACCCAGGTGGTTTCCCTGCTGAATTTCAGTATATCATAAACATTTCCTACTAGGTCTACTATATGTAATTATTCCAAAATTTGAAATATGCAAACACTTCACAACTTAATCATGTTAGCAAACCAAAGACAATGCAAGAGAAGAAACATAGATAGATAGATAGATAGATAGATAGATAGATAGATAGATAGATAGATACCAGTATAAACACCAGTATAAAAATTGGGCTGGAGCAATAGCACAGTGGTAGGGCATTTGCCTTGCACGCAGCCAACATGGCTGACCCAAGTTCGATTCCTCCGCCCCTCTCGGAGAGCCCTACAAGCTACCGAGAGTATCTCGCCCGCACGGCAGATCCTGGCAAGCTCCCTGTGATGTATTCGATATGCCAAACACAGTAACAACAAAGTCTCCAATGGAGACGTTACTGGGCCCGCTCGAGCAAATCGACGAACAACAGGAGGGCCTTTACCTTTTACCTTATAAAAATTACAGAATGTTAGAAAATGTAATTTTATCAGAAGCATGATTCTAATCATGATAATTGATCATAACCAAGCTGAATTCATCCTGAGACTGGAGGTCTGATTTACCATTTGTAAATGCTGCTAGCAGTTCAACGAAACAGAAAACAGTTGCCAAAATCCAACATTCATTCCTGATTTAAACAAAACAAAAACAATAAATAAATAAAGGAAAGGGGAAACTTAAAGGACAATTAAGGAAATTCTCGTGGGTTGGGCCACTTGAAGCAGGGTAGGTACTAGCCCGGCTTGTACTAAGGGGTCAATCCCAGAGGTGTTCAGGTGATTGTATTGTGCTGGGGCCACTAAGAAAATTCTGCATCTGCATGAAGTTTGGTGTTGAACCTTTTTTCTCAAAATCTAGAACTAGAAAGGATAATCTCTTTCAGCACTTAATGTGATATCTAGCTGAGGGGCTGGAACAATAGCACAGTGGGTAGGGTGTTTGCCTTGCACGCGGCCAACCCGGGTTCAATTCCCAGCATCCCATATGGTCCCCTGAGCACCACCAGGAGTAATTCCTGAGCGCAGAGCCAGGAGTAGCCCCTGTGCATTGCCGGGTGTGACCCAAAAAGCAATAAATAAATAAATAAAATAAAATAAAATTCTAGCTGATTCATTCCAACAATGGAAAAACAATTAAAAAGACATTACAATTGGAAAGATAAAAGTAAAATTTTTATTGGTCATGTATTGCACGGTCATCAGTATGGCGAGTTTATTGAATTTTACCCCAAAACTTCTACTAAATATAGCAAGTTTGACCAAATAGCAGAATATGAAATACATAAAACTAAATTTATTCCTTTACTAAAAATGAATATTGGAAATACAGACTTTGAAAATGCTATTTACAATAGCAACAGACACATACTTTGTGATAATCTATTGAAACTATGAAAACTTTTGTAATAACAACCACAATTTTTTTAATAATCTGAAAGATTGAAATGTTTACCTGTCCACGGGTTCCAAAGTGGATTGACTACTCAGTACACCCACTTAAAGTTTCACTTTTTTTTAATTGAAAAATTTATTCTAAAATTTATTTGGATATTTGTGGGATCTACAATAGACATATTATGAAAAAGAACAAAGGTAAAGGACTAGTACTAGTACCTGAATTTATAATCATTATAAGTCTATAATGATTGATTATTGGCATCCAGCGATCACGATCACTATCATCCTGTTGTTCGTCGATTGGCTCTTGCAGGTCTCCTTCGTCCTAGCCCTGAGATTCTAAAAAGTGCCACATTCAAGGCTCTTTCAGGGTTAGGAGAATGAGACCCATCATTGTTAATGGTACTTGGCATATTGGGTACACCATGGGGAGTTTGCCAGACTCTGCCGTGTGGGCAGGTTACATTAGGTAGCCTGCCAAGTTGTCCAAAGCAAGAATGAGATAATCAGATGTCGCTTCCCGGAGCTGGGTTTTATAGTCTCTGGTTCTTGGCCACTGATGGGATTACACGGCACCAGGGGGTCAGTTGGTGGGTGTGACCCCTGCCTGCTGGAAGATGGAGGATCTGGGTGGAGGATGCTCAGCCCCGATCCGAGCAGGCTTGGAAATCTCAGCCCCGGGACCCACATGCCTTTGTTCCTCTGCCGATACCTTCATGCATGTGGAGAGTGGTCTCAGCATGGTTGTAGCTGGTTCTAGAGGTCTTTGGCTGCCGGGGCTCTGCTCCGGGCAGGGAGGGAAATTCAACCCGCCCTGCTCCCAGGGGCCTTGGAGAGGACAGCCAGACACAGGGGCAGGAGACTCTGCGCTGTTCTCTTCCGGGAGCTGGTTTTTATAGTCCCACATACATGTTTTGAAACTGATTTTTCATAAAGACAGAAAGGTGCAGTGAATATATATATATATATATATATATACATATATATATATTCAATATTATTTCTCCATAAATCCTAAGACTGCAGAGAGAGAATAGAGATTTTTTTTAAGAAATTGTTCAGTTTGAAGTTATTTTGAAGATGTCTATTTATACTGTAAGTCTTCTTGTTTCATCTCCATATGAAACACTTTCTATTTTATTTTATGCATCAAGTCCACCTGTTGGCACTTTATGTGTTGTTTTTATCTTTTATCCTGACAGCTCTCCTGAAGTTAGGTCTGATTACATATCTCCCCTTTTTTTGAAGCTGAATAAATAATTTCTCTGAGAAATTTATGTTGGCCTTAGATTCCTTTACATCTTTGTCAAATTGATAGTCCACTAGGAACAAAATTAAGTCTAAACCATAGTTGTAAAATGAGGTGAATAAAATAAGCTTGTCTTTATGCTATCACTGTATATGTCATATTGCTCTTCGTGTTGTCACTATTTTTTGTTGAGGCCATATCTAGCGGAGCTGAGGGTCTCACACATGGGCGACATGTTCATAGCCTGCCCCACATTACTCTTCGATTTACTGTAAAAGTCACTGTTCTTATTGTATAAATTTAACCAAAATAGTTTAAATTAGAAACTATGGAGTGCAGTATAAACATCTTTGGAAATACATAAAAAGTCATCTCTTATATAGATTAATGTGAATATTGCTACTAATTTTCTGGTGTGAGGAATTTTATATTCCACTCTATATACCTCGGAGACAGACAATTAAAATGTTAGTGCTTTAATAAGTATCAACATTATAAATAAAATATGGCTATAAAGTTTTTATGCTATATAGTATCCCACTTACCAGGTTATGTAAGACATTAATATGGATAGTAATAAGAAATTAACGTGCATTTATTCAAAAATATTTGTTCATTTTTGCTTTCTTACCCAGCTCTAAGGAGGAAACTTTAAAATATATATTTTGTTCCAGTTATAATAATAATGTCAAAATATAGCAGAAAACCCTACCCATCACAAATAGTGCATTTGTTTATATTATAGCACTTCTCTTTAGTAGAAAGAATGCAGTCATCAAACCTCAGTACGTTTTTGCTTCTCTGCTTTAATAAGTTGCATTGGAAATATTGTTTCTATTAAATTCCTGTTAAAGAGATTCTTCTTCATTTCTACAAAGTCAACATGTCAGCAAATTTTCTTTTCTCCTGACTTTACCATGTGCTCGGAAGAATTCTGAATAATTTCAGAAAACCGGTAGTGTAGGAAGACTTCCCATTGTTGGCAGGGTTCTTTTTCAAGCATATGTTTATGAAAAAAAAATAGTATATTTTTGACTTTCTAATTTTTTGATTCAGCAGAAGGTAATAATTTTGAAACTTTATTACTAGACTTTTTAGCTTACTAGTATTTTTTCTTTTTTTCTAATGCAAAAGGACTTAATTGCTTGTCAAATCTTAATAAAATTATGTGAAACATATAGGAATGTCTCCTATACTCAAAAAAGCAGCAGGTGTGCCTTCAGTCAGTACATGATGTAATCATTTAAAATATTCTCAGCTATTGTGACTATCAACAGGTAATGTTATATGCTTATGTCTGAAGAGCTTACAGTGGCGGTTTTGTAGACTATTCTTTACTTTCTCTGACACTTTTAACAGTTATGATTTGTTTTGATTTTAAAGGAAATGTTGGGTGAACTCTTCACTCCTGTCGAAAACCCTGAAGCACCAAACAGGGGGTTCTTCAAAGGCTTGTTTGGAGGTGGTGCACAATCTCTTGATAGAGAAGAACTATGTAAGTTGATTTATTCAATCACTTAATCACTTAATCACTTAATCCCCGTTATTCATCGATTTATTCGAGCGGGTGCCAGTAACGTCTCCATTCATCCCGGTTGCGTGCTAGCGTAGCCCAATGGTATCTGTTCGTTTTAGGAACATGTAGAGCCTCAAACCGATCACTTAGGGTCTTGACGAAGAAGTCTGACCATCTTATAGGTGGGCGTCCACGTGATCTTTTGATGTCTCGTGGAATCCAATCAGTAATGGCTCTAGTCCAGCGGTTGTCTGTAAACCTCATTACATGTCCAGCCCATCTGATTTTTGATGTCTTGGCAAATGAGACAGCGTCTCTGATTCTTGAGCGTTGACGAAGATCAGAACTCCGGATTCTATCTCTCATTTGAGTGAATCGTGATATTCCAAGCATAGTTCTTTCGATTCCTCTTTGAGAGACCCGAATAGTGTTCTCATCCTGTTTTCGTAGGGTCCAGGTCTCTGAGGCATATGTTAATGCAGGAAGAATAGTGGAATCAAAGAGATGTGCTCGTAGTTGGAGGTTCTTTGTCCTTTTAGTTATTTCTTCAATGCTCTTGAAGGCATTCCAAGCCGCTCTCTTCCTCCTGCGCAGCTCGGGTGCCAGGTCATTCATCATGTTGATTTCTCGACCTAAGTATATATAACTGTTGCATTCGGAGATGGTGGTTCCGTTGAGAGCGAATGGAGCGTCAGGAACAAGGTTGTTTCTCATAAACATTGTCTTCGTAAGATTCAGCTGTAGTCCAACCTTTCCACACTCACGGTCAAAGTCCGCAAGCATTTGTGCCGCTTGGCTGATGTTTGGTGTTATTAGAACGATGTCATCAGCAAAGCGGAGGTGGTGTAGTTGCCGACCATCTATCTTCACTCCCATGTTTTCCCATTCTAGTCGTCGCATGATGTTCTCGAGGGTGGCACTGAAGAGTTTTGGTGAAATGGTATCACCCTGCCGAACCCCTCTCTTGATATGGATGATTACTTCTTTGTAGAATGGTGAGATCTTGGTAGTGAATCCGCAATAGAGCTCACGAAGGATCCTGATGTATTGAGTTTGTACGCCCTGATTGGCTAGGGCTTCCATGACCGCTTCCGTCTCAACAGAATCAAAGGCCTTCTTTAAATCAATGAACGTTAGACAGAGCGGCATCTTGAACTCCCGAGATACCTCAATGAGCTTGGTTATTGTGTGGATATGGTCGATGGTACTGAATCCTTTTCGGAATCCAGCTTGTTCACATGGTTGTCCTTCATCTAGTGTTCTGCTAATCCTATTCAGGATGACTCGAGTGAATAGTTTGTAGATGACAGACAATAGGCAGATTGGGCGATAGTTGCCAATGTCGTGGATGTCTCCTTTCTTGTATAGTAGTACAGTCTTGCTGGTTTTCCATTGGGATGGAACCTTGCATTCAGACAGGTAGCGTGTGAAGAGTCGAGCTAATGTATTGATGAGTACTGATGGTAAGTTCTTCAGGTGTTCAGGTCTGATCTTGTCATTTATTCAATATGAATGATAAAATTATTAAAGAGCCATTCTGAATCAGTATATATATATATATTTTCTTTTTGAGTCACACCCAGCAATGCACAGGGGTTATTCCTGGCTCTGCACTCAGGAATTACCCATGGCAGTGCTCAGGGGACTATATGGGATGCTGGAATCAAACCCAGGGCCAGCTGTGTACAAGGCAAACACCCTACCCACTGTGCTATCGCTCCAACACCATCAGCATAATTTTTTTTTTTTTTTGGTTTTTTGGGTCACACCCGGCGATGCACAGGAGTTACTCCTGGTTCATGCACTCAGGAATCACTCCTGGCGGTGCTCAGGGGACCATATGGGATGCTGGGAATCGAACCTGGATCGGCAGCGTACAAGGCAACCACCCTACCTGCTGTGCTATCGCTCCAACCCCATAAGCATAAAATTTTACATATGAAAATTATCCTTTTTGTTTCTTGTCACAACAGTTTTTAATAATACTCGGGTTTTAGCAAAATACATAAAAAGCATATTTTGTCATTTTAATTCAGCTTGAGAATATTGTTCTCAGAAAACCTGCATGAATTAAGGAGTATCACAACTTGGATAATTTTATTTGCCAGTAACGTGATTATTTCTATTTTCATTCTGTGATTAATTTTAATTGAAGACTTTGACTTTAAAAAAAAGGTTTATTTAAAGTAAAAGCTTGAATTTTTTTTCTTAAAAATCTTCTAGAACTATTTTTAATGCACGAGAAGGTTTTTAAATGTAGGGAAATCAAATTCATTTACTGCCGTTCCCATAGTGGTAGAAACAGCCCAAGTGTCTTCCTGTTCTGAGTTGCATAAACATGATGCTGACTGGTGCTGTCAGGGCTGTGTCACTGTTGGGAGGTTCAAGGGATATAGATAAGGGCGAGGGATCTGACTCAGCAGTAGTGTTTGTCTCACATGCATGAGGCTCTAGGTTTGATACCCAGTACCGCCAAAAAAAAAAAAAAATCTGACATTTAATAAAACCTCTATCAAATCTATTATCAACTTCGTATAAAAATTCAAAGATTCTCACCATTTTGGCATGAATTCTTTTTTACAGTATTTAACTCCCATTTTAATATTGTTCTGGATGCTAATCAGGATGGTTAAGAAAGAGAAGCAAGGGACTGGAGCAATAGCATAGCAGGTAGGGCATTTGCCTTGCACATGGCTGACCCGGGTTTGATTCCCAGCATCCCATATGGTCCCCTGAGCACCACCAGGGGTAATTCCTGAGTGCAGAGCCAGGAGTAACCCCTGTGCATTGCCGGGTGTGACCCAAAAAGAAAAAAAAAAGAAGAAGAAGAAAGGGAAGCAAAACTCATGCCGTTGAAATGGAAGAACTGAAACTCTCTAGTCATGTCTAATAGTCTGTTAAGAAATCTTAATACAAAGAAACAGCAAGGTTATAGGATGCAAGCTTAAAGTAAATAATTGTATTTCTATATACTAGCAATGTACTTTTCAAAACAGTGAGAAAGCAGTTACATTTATAATGACATCAACAAAGTGCTTAAGAATTTAGCAAATGAAGTGTTAAACGTACCCTAAAACTTGAAAATACCATTTATGGAACTAAAGACACAAATAAAAGGATCAACAACCCATGTTTGTGGATTGGGAGACAACATTGTTCCATGTATCACTGCAAATTGATCTACATATTCAATACAATCTCTTTCAGAATCCCAACTGGCTTTTTTGCAGAAATAAAAGCTGTATCTAAGAAGCAGCATACTTTACAAGACTCTACCACTTGTAATGCAAGGGATCTCTCTCTCTCTCTCTCAGACACACACACACACACACACACACACACACACACACCCCTACCTTGAAAAAGAAAATGCTGAATGGTACCTGTATTTCAGTTTTAGCACTTACTGCAAAGATGTCGTTGATGTGGTATTGGCAAAAGTACTGATATAAACCCCAACAGAGTAAATTTGAGTCCAGAAAGAAGCCCATACATATTTATGGTCAATTAATTTACTGTAAAAATACCAAAAGAGCTCAATTGTCAAAGAATGGCCTTTTTTAACAGATGATATTGGGACAACTGGATATCCAAATGCAAAAGAATAAAGTTGGACCCCGATCTTACACCATACACAAAACTTAACTCGAAAGGACCAAAAACTTCAATGTAAGAGCTCAGATTATAAAATCTTCAAAGAAAACATAAGTATAAATTTTTATAGCCTTGGGTAAATTGATGGTTTCCTGCAAATGAAACCTAAATCACAACCAGATATTTTAATTGTATAAATAGGATTTCAACAATAATTAAGATTTTTTTTGCCTCAAAAAATACATGATTAAAAGTGTAAAGAAAGGCCTAGACTGTAGTTAATAAAGAAAAAAGTTTTAAAAAATGAATGGGGTAAAATGTTTACAAATTGAGGGCTAGAGAAATAGTTCAAGAGGGCAAGGCCCCTCTGATCCGGGTTCAATTCCTACCACCCAGTATGGGCTGGAGCGATAGCATAGCGGGTAGGGCGTTTGCCTTACAAGCGGCCAACATGGCCGACCCGAGTTCGATTCCTCCGCCCCTCTCGGAGAGCCCAGCAAGCTACCGAGAGTATTCGATATGCCAGACACAGTAACAACAAAGTCTCCAATGGAGACGTTACTGGGCCCGCTCGAGCAAATCGACGATCAACGGGAGGGCCTTTACCTTTACCTTTACCAATATGGCCCCCCAATCCTTGCCAGGACTGGGCTCTAATACAGATCAACGAATAAGCACTGAGCATTCACTGGGTGTGGCCACCACCCAAACCCCAAAATGCATATGCATCTCTACACATGTATACAAGACTTTAGTATCTAGAATGTTGAACTTTTATAGTTTAATAAAAGATAGTACGTGTATTTCAGTTTTAGCACTTACAAAGATGTTCTGATGTGGTATTGGCAAGTGGTCAGTGTAATTGTGTACCAAAACCACAATGAACTGCCACTCCACACTACTAGAGCTATAACCAAAATAATATCAAATGTTAGCAAAGATGTGGAAACATAGAAACTAATACATTGTAGGAATATAAAACAGAATAACTTTATTAAGAAAACACTTGCACTTCTTCCAATGTTTTAAGCATACTTGCTGTAGAACCCAAGTTTGTTTACTCCTGCAATTATCTTTGAAAGTGTATTCACAAAAAAAAAAAGTTGTGCAAATGTTCATAGCAGCATTATTTTGAATAGCTAAAAAAGCAGAAAAAAACCAAATGTCCATCAGTTGCTGAATGTATAGGCTAAATAAATGTCATGTATCTATAAGCAGAAAATCATTCGGTCATAAAAAGGATAAAGTAGACTGACACACGCTACAACTTGATCATACTTTGAAAACATTTTAAGTGAAAGAAGCCAGACATGAAGGGACACATAGTGTATGAATGCGTTTATAGGAAATGTTTAGATTTATAGAGATTGAGAACAAATTATTGATTGCCATGGGCCAAGAAATGACTGCAAAGAGCTTGGTTTTCTTTTTGGAGTGATGAGATTGCTCTGGACTTAGTTCCACTACCCTTTTCATAAAGCAAAAATACCACATTTTTTAAGGGACTCTATGTGGAATAATCTATATGTTTATATCTTATAAATTATATTTTTATTGGGAACGTATAGTTTATATTATGTATTTTCTTAGCGAGGAATTGGTCTCAGACACTGACAGAATGTAAGGCTCGCCGAGTAATCTAGGTGTTCCTAAGTAGGGTCTGACTCTTAGGTGGAAAAAGGAGCAATGAATGCCCGAGATCTTTGAAGGTGAGTTTTTATATGGTTGAAAGCTGACAAAATAAATAAAGCAATGGAAACAAAGAGGTGAATTCAAACTTTCTGTAGCTTCTGGTGGCTAAAATAGAATACCAAATACAGTTAGGTTTTCTTTACTTCTAAGTTAAGCCCAATAGTAGTTTCTTAAGTCGGGGAAAGCATGAAGAAATAAATGAAATCACATCTGTACATTTAAATTAAAACTGTTCAATGTTCCTTTGAATATTTTAGGATAGTTAATTTTTAACTTTTTGTTAAATATTTAACTTTGTGCACGGAAGAGCAACTTTGGCTCTTCTAATATGACCATCGATGCATTCTATCCTAAGATTACCCATCCCATGTGCTTGCACAAGCCCCACCATCTGCACTAGTGTCAAGTAGAACATTCATGAACTTAATTTTGCTTGCTTAAGAAAGGACCTGAACATTCACAAAACCATCGGTAAACACAGTAAAAAAAAAAAAAAGAAGTCGCATTCTTAAAGAAGTCGCATTCTTTAAGTCAGACAAAAGCACGTCCATCGTCATCCCATGTAAAAAGCGTTTTTGCATTTCCAGACAGAGCTGACGCTTGGGAGGGTTGGGGCATGAGGGAACGTGCCGTTTCTGACACTCTTTTTTCCTGGGAAACGCCTGCAGTTGGCGAGTCAGCATCGGGCAAGGCCTCGCGGAGCCTCGCACAGCACATCCCCGGGCCTGGCGGCATCGAAGGCGTCAAGGGGGCCGCCTCCGGGGTCGTGGGCGAGTTGGCCCGGGCCCGACTGGCCCTGGACGAGAGGGGCCAGAAACTGAGTGACCTGGAGGAGAGGACTGCGGCCATGCTGTCCAGTGCAGACTCCTTCTCGAAACACGCGCACGAGGTAAGCCTGGCCAAGAGGTGAGCAAAGAGAGCCAAAGTCTTTGTTAAGTCCCACTAGGGGCGGGTGCGAGTGTTTCTCCTCCTTCAGCTCCACTAGAAGAACATGGAGAGTGTTTGCTCATGCATGAATGTTCAGTCTGGGGGGAAAAAATGCAAAGAATTGCAAATAAACTCAACTGCCAGGTGTCTCACGAAACAGATTTCTGCGAGAATTGGAATTGGAAAGCAAAACAAATAGGGGGAAATGATTCAAGTGACCTATGACTTAGGTATTTCTGATTTATTTCTGATAAATGAGTTTTAGTAATAGTAGTATGCGCTGTGAAATAGCCCTCTTTCTGCATAGGTACGTAGGAGTAATTCACATTTAACTGGATGTCCTGTGAAGTACTTTTTTTTTTTTTGGAATCACTGTGAGGTAGTTACAAAGCTTTCATGATTGAGTTTCAGTCTTACAATGATCGAGCACTCATCCCTCCACCGGTGTGCATTTCCCACCGCCAGTGTCCCCAGTGCCCCTCCGGCCACCCTTACCCAACCCCACCCCACTGCCTTTATGGTAGGCACTTTCCTTTTCACTCTCCTATGGAGTATTTTAAAACATTTTTTTTTCTTTCATTGTGCAAAAGACGAGAGGGAGAGGTTAAAGTGCTTGCCTTGCACATGACCCAGGTTCAATTCCTGACATGATTTGAATCCCCTGAGTACAGCTGGGTGTGGCCTCTGACCCCCACCAAATGTAATAATGATTGTGAAAATAGATATCTGCCATGAGACTCTCTACCATTTAATAAAATCTTAGGCAAACAATTCAAAAAAATTATTTTTCAAAAATCACGTAGGAGCCAGAGAGAGAGTGTAGCAGTAAAATGCTTCCCTTGTCCACAGCCAATGTGGATTTATTTGATCTCCAGCATCCTATATGGTCCCCGAGCACTGCCAGAAGTGATTCCTGAGTGCAGAGCCAGGAGTTATCCCTGAGAATTATGGGGTGTGAATCCCCCCACACACACAAAAAAAAACTCAGCACCTAAGTAAAATTAAGTATGAAAGTTTTGAGTTTTTAGAGTTGAATTTCTACACTTGACTTTTCATGTACTCTTTGCATAATTGTAAGCTTCTGATTTTTGCCACTAGAGGGAGCCATCATAGGAATATTGTTCTGTGTCTTTGTGTTACTGAGATTTCACAGTTTGGAAGGAACCTGCTGACCTCTTGAGTATTTTTTTTTGTAAACAAAAGCAGAACTTTGTAACTACTTCCTCGGGAATACAATAGCAGAGATAATTTCCCTTAAGTTCCCCAGGATCTACTATCAAGTTTTACTGAAGAGGAAAATGAGTTACCTCTCTTGATTCTTTAAGTAGATCAAAGTAACAAAAATTGGTACACACTTACATTCTAATGTTAAGTCTGTCTGTATACCAGTTAGGTGTCGTTTTGCCAAAAATTAATCTTGATGAATTAGAAAATTATTGTGATGGGACTTAAATATATAAAAAAAAAAAAAACAGTGACTGAAGTGAGAATCCAGCAAGTAGGTCACTTATCTTGCTTACAGCTGCCCCTGGTTTAATCTCTACTACCACAGAGAGCCCCTCAACCCCTGTCAGGAGCAATCACTGAGCGCCACTGGGTATGTCTCCCCCCACCACCATAAAGAGAAGAGAAATATAAAGTATAATCAGAATACAAATAATAAAGCGCTACAGATACAAAGTAGGACTTCCAGACTGGCCATAAATAAGCCTGGTTGATTATCATGTCTAAAATACTGAATTTGATACTTTTCAGGAGAATTCCCATTCTTAGTTTTAACACACATCTGCCCCTGCTTGAGAACATTTTGGGTTTGTTGCCTTACCTGAAGAAACCAATATAAGGTTATTTTCTATTCCAATATCCACTCTATTATTAATACCTGTAATTTAAATGTTCCTGTTCAAGAATGTTGAAACTTCACATGTGTGAAAAAAAAATAGTCTTGGAAGAAGTTTGTCTCGAACTACCCAGAGATTCAGAGACCTTTTGGAAGTACTTGCACAAGACCACCGTTGGCCTCAGATATAAGCCTTCACTCTAGATCAGGATTTTTTTTTTCCTTTTGCTAACTGTCCTTTGTACACAAGAATGATTTCTAAAACCTCTAATTGCTTGAGTCAATTTTAGCTGTGTAAGCACTAAAATGTTTGGTGAAGATCCCAATCTGAAACCCATAGCTCTTCCTTTATGTCAGATGTCATTCTTGAACCACACAAGAAAATGTAAGACATGTCCATTGAGGAAGTGAGGACCTTTTGTTAGGCTCCAAGTCCCTGTTACTTCGGATAGCTCCTCCAAAGCCTCCTTCCCTTCATTTATAAAACGGATGAATAATACCTAACCCAGAGGGTTTGGGGTTATGTGACAAGGGCCTAGTGGAATCCTGAAGGAAAGTGTCATACTTACAGCCAAACTCAGAATAAGTGCTTAGCGAACTGAATGACTGTTAAAAAAAAAGTGGAACCTTGGAGACAGGTCTTAATAGTTATGGTTCCCTCCCCTATATATATGAGATAGTTATGAGGGTTTGTCATCCCCCCTCTATATGTATTCTGCTTTTATTGAAGATTGACTTGTAGTAAGTAATATACAGAGAGTTTCTGATTGATAACGATGTTTTAGACAAGAAACTATGTTTAGTTTAGATACTATGTTTAGAGAAGAAACCAGTTAAACCTTGTCCCTGGCATTTACAAACACATTTTTCATATTCTCTCTCTTTAGATGATGTTGAAATACAAGGATAAGAAGTGGTACCAGTTCTGACAACCAGAAGTCCAACGAAGTTCCACTTCAGTCAGAGGGGAAAAATGTTTTTCCTTGTTTATCTCAATTTAGGAAAGTTCACATTAAACGATGTTCCCCACTGGATACTGTTCTTTCCTAGCACAATCATGCACTGTTTTACCTCAGTCGTGTGGCTTTCACTGAGGGGTGTTCACACATGCAAACTGGAAGCGTCCATGGCGTGTACCTGCTCTGAGTGACAGTTTGGGAACTACAGCAGGTTACACGTTCCAGAACAAGCAACCACGGGTGAGGTGGAAGAGACCTGGCAGGGACGATTCCTGGATCATTCCTGTATTAAGCTTTCATATGCCAAAAGATTCCGTGCTGTTGTATCTGCCATCAGTGTTTGACCTCTTTGAGGGAGAGGCAATAAGTCTGCGGTCCCGAAGCTGAAATAGTCATGTTTGTGTCTTGGGATTTCCCTCCCTTAAACTGACTGGTCATCAAGTATCATTAGTGAAAAAAAGAAAACAAACTGATTGTTACCATACCTTTAGATAGATTAAGCTGAATGGTGGGCTTTCAATTATAAAAACATACACATAGTTGATTTGTGTATGGGCTACTCTTGGATTCTTGTTGTTGTATACTTGTGTTTAGTCCATATTTTGTCAAAAGCAAAATCAAGGCGAAACATCACTTTTCATTGCGAAGAAAAGTGTAGAACATGACTGAACTGCTCTTCATTCTGGAAGTTTCCATGTAGTGGCAATACAGTGTGGAAAGTGAAAAAAAAAAAAAGAAAAAACCCTCCATTGTGGTGAGGCGAATTCTTCCATGTCCCTTGTCCTTCTCATTAATTCAGCTAACGGTGGACTTTACCCAAAAAAGTTGCTGGTAAAATTTGTAGAAATGTGGAAATTGGCTGTTTTTAATTTTGCTTGAATTTTTATAAAATGTTTAACCAATTGTACCTTTGCATTATTTAATTAAAGTTGCTAAAAAACCGTTTCATTATTTCAGTAAAATGCTCAGCTCCCTTTTTAAAATGTCCTTTATTCGCTAACAGTTCCAGTACACTCAGGTGATGAGCCAATTAAATCTTAGTGTACAGGCTGTTGCATGGGAAATGACAAGCATCTGTTGTCAATCATTATCTACTTACAAGTCTAGTTGATGACCTACACAATATTTTCTGTAGAAATATACCGCACATGTCCTTTCAAGGTGTTTTACAAAGCCAAAAGGAAAGGAAATAAGTGCATTCTTTTGGTAACTAAATTACTTCTGTATTGGAAGATAGTGCATACGTGACCATCAGTGGAGAATGAACATTTGATTCCTAGAATAGCATTGCAGAAAGAAGAGATCCGTTGGTAAATACCGAAGGAACCAATCTCCTAATACAGGCTCCTCTGAAATTATCGACCTTAAAGCAACAAAAGAAGAGCAAAACAGAAGCATTATGATGATAATGGAATTGAAATATTTTCTTCTGTAGAAACGAAACAGTTTTATTCGTCATTAAGGGATCATCTGCGCAAATTGATGGCAGAATGGTTGTTTTTCTATCCCGTATGCTCATTCGCAGCGTCTATAGGACACCTCATGCATCCATCTTTTCCTCTTTTTGTTAATAATGCTTTGTGTTTACATTTTATGATGTGCACTACAGAACATGAAAGTTTACATTCAAATTGCTTTAAATATCAATGGGTAGGGATTACGTGTATGTGATATAGATAATTGATTAAGCCAAAAGAAATATTTTTTAAATGTGATTCATTTCAAAAGTTTCTGAATTTGACGGCATTTTTGAATGGCATTTTTCTGTTTAGTTGGTATCAGCTGTATGATGAATATTCAGCAGTTTACAAGTTGCTTAGTTTGTATTGCATATTACCTAATAAATCCATTGGTTATGATATGTCACAGAAAGTATTAGGTCCTTGTAAAAGATACAGTTTTGTGAATGTCATCAGTAATTTCAGCAGTTAGGGATTTAAAGTTGAAAAGCACTTAGTAAAGTAATATACTGGTTGATTACCGATTCATGTGAAAGGACATATTAACTCCAGTTATTTAATTTACTGTTATTTTATGTTAATTGTATATTGACTTCATTTTTACTGTTGTATATAAAATAAACTAACCTTGTAATTATTTTCAAATAGAGAAGCAGATACCTTTAACAGAGATGGATTTTATAAGAAAGTCTTGAATCAATATTTTGAGTTATTTTATTTCATTTTTTAAATTAATCTACAAAGTATGCACAAACTAGGAACTCGTGTAGAACTAGAAAGCTTGAAGTATTTTTAAGATAGGAACTAAGCTTCCAGAATAATACTTGATTCAGTCTGTAGATAAGAGACAGTCTGCAGTAATAACTAACCCAGGGAGTTTACTGTCATTTGAGAGATAGCATTTCTATTTTTTTTTCTTTTGAAACACAAATAATAGTCACCAGCAAACCAGATTTCAGGAAAAGAAACAAAAAAAAATGTCAAAAATAGAAATACTAGAAAATGAAAGATTTTATTTTGCTTGCTCCATATCCTCACATATTTTGTCACATTTGTCATTGGCACTAAAATTGATTAGCAGTTTGTCAATTGGAAATGATTTCCCTGTATAGGACACATAATCCCGTTTTTTTTTTCTTAAAACTAAAATCCATTATATTTGGTTAGAAAATTATTTGAATTCACTATTCTGACAAATTCTGTACATTCTACTTACTAGAAGTTTTGCATTATCTTAACCCCCTTGGTTTGCATTTCACTTATACATTGTGTCTCCAAAAAAAGTTATAGTTTAACTGAGCTATTACTAACTTTCATTTTTTTGTCCATGTGGAAAAAAAATGCTGCTACTTGTCTATGTTGTTACATGTAGTGTATTGCGATTAAGTATAGTATTTTAAAGTTAATGAGTTAAGCATTTCTTTTGCTTAGAACTTCTTAATTGTAGGTTTCTCTGAAGTTATTTCACGTAGATATATGAGTGATTTAGACAAGTCTGAAAGTGTTACTTTTTAGATGATAGGGGGTGGTGACACAGTTGAGGAGTGGAAAAATGCAAGGAAGGCCACCATGGTGTTCGAAGTTTTGCCCTGAGTTCTCTATTCAGTATATGTTTGCTTAAGGCATTCCTCATGTGACATTAGAAAAGCTATTATCCAAAGGTAAATTTTTTGTGGCAAATGTTTATTTTACATCTTTTGGGATTTTGTTTATTTGTTTTTGCAAAATAAAGAGCACTGAACTTTAAACTTGAATTTTTTCTGCACTTTTTTAGGGAAAGAAAACTTTTTATTGTCATTTAATCCACACTTTCAGTTTGAATCAAGTGATACATATGTATAAAACATACCAAAACCATGAAGATGCTGCTAGCTGTACCTATCAATTAAACTGATCATAAGTTTCAAAACCTTTAATAGGGTTTTATATCGTTTTCAAGGATTCAAAAACAAGAGTAAGCTTATTTGCTCTGTGTTTCAGTGTTTTAGGTCTTGAATCATTGCAACACTTTCAGATTTGTTTTAAGATCATACAGTAACATGTTATATTTATACATACTGCTAGAGAAGATACTTTTAGTTTTAAAATGGAATTTTTATAAATGTATTATTTAATTTTAAAAATGGTGAACTTGTTAAGTTTAAGTCAAAGTACTTAAAAAGTATGTATATTATCCATACAAAAAGTTATGTTCTACGCTTATAATAAGAAATACTGGTATCTCATATCGAGATACAATTAGTTAAAAAATATCATACATCATCCAAAAGTCTTCACATGTGACAGGAGGGTTATCATTCCTATGGTTTTCAAGAACCCTTTATTGAGCATTTTCCAATACGAATTTAATTTGGGGACATGCCCATAACACTCATTACAGGAGCTTTCTCAATAGCCGCAGCTCGCTGTTGGATGCCTACCTTAACTATTGTTTTAAAATATACATATATATATTTAAAATAGTTTTCCAGGTATTTTCTTCTACGTTTTTTAAAAATAAATTTCCAAAAATAAAAACAGAGTTTATGTATTTTTGTCAACGAAGGTTTTTATTTTGTAGTTTATAGAATTTGTTCCTTCTCAGTTTGATACTTGATCAATATTCCTAGACTTTTTAATCTGTATTTGCTTTGGAAAACAGCAGTCCTCTCTCCTAAGTGTCCTCCCTCTTTTCTTTTTTCCTTTCTAGGGTATTTGTTCTCTTGGAATGAAATTTATGCCCATAGATTATTTCATTTCCTTTGAAATTGTGGAGATACTGTTTACAGCTCTCATTAAGTGCAGTTTTCATCACTCTGCTCAATTTCTTATAAAGTGCTTTGGAGATTTAATGATCTTAATCCTGCCACAGAAGTTTTCAAGGCTCTGTGGAGAGAAATTAACTGTTGCACCAGCAACAAGATTTCAAGGAAAAACCAGCTTAGCTTTCTCTGCATAATTAATTGGTTTTAATAAGTTCCCAATTGCCAGAATTATACTGTTGCTTTTTTTCTTTTTCACTCACCATCTTAGTTTTAAATCATTCGGCAGACTTAATTTACAAATTGAGTACAGTAGTCCAGGGCTACAAGTAAGTGCTCTTTTTATTTTCCTCTTTAAATCAGAAAAATCACGTCCGTTTTGCCAGTAGTTTTGAATGAGGCTCTTAATTTAAATAATTCATAGTGTATGAGATGTAAATAAACCAGTATTAATTTATGGTGGGTTGTTTGACTCAGGCATTTAAATGGATAATAGGCTAATGACAATGGAATCCTATTTAGGAGTTTCATTTAAACTTTGACATGACAGCGTGTTTAGTTTTTAAACTTTGCTTCAACTTAAAGGCAATGTAAGGCATTGAAAACATTCAACATATCAATAGCAATGCAAAGAGGGGTAAATCATGTTTTAACGTTTTTTCATTATTTTTTTTTGTAAATATGTGGTACTGTGATAATTTAGATGTGACCTCTGCTTAACATGGTAGTTAGAATCAGAAAAACATTTTGCTTTCTAATTATACAATTGGTTCATTGTAAATGCATCACCGGATACAATATGAAAAAGCAAGATTAAGTTTTTCTACCATTGTCCACTTCAGGGCAAGCATGCTTGGTATAGAGATCTAGCTTGTGTATACCTTGAACTGTAGATGTAGGTAGTTTTCAGTTGCTGCACTTTAGTTTTTTGAAGACTTGCTCAGTCCAGTAACTATCTCAATGGTAATTGCTGGAATATGCATTTTAAATATGGTTTAAAAAAACATTTCTGTGTACTGTTTCATTTAAAACAAAAACAGAACAAAAAAAAGCACTATTGCAAACACAAGATGTGTTGAACTTTGTAGCTATTTTGCATTCCTGTACTTTACAAACTGTCATCAGAGCAAAAGGTTTAAAATTAAGTAATGAAATATTTTTGTAAATAAATACCTCTAAGCTGGTATTTTCAAAATGTATTCTAAATTAATGTTTCTGGAAAAAATGTTCATATATATGTATATGAATGTCTCTTTATGCTGAAGGGCTCTGATTGGGCAAAATAAAATACTCTAATCTCTCCTGAAACTAAACAAGCCCTTTTTTCTGGAAAATTTGTTTTTTTAACTTTTCCTCAGAATTGTGAAATTCACCCATTAGCTTAACCTAAGAAAATAGTAGACCAACCTTATTTCTGCATTTGCAAAGGGAAAGTCGATTTCAATTTTATCAGGTAATTCAAGTGTAGCAGATGGTGTGTAGCAGGTCTTTTAGATAAGAGGCTATCACGTCATATTGGGGTTACAATAGAAAGTGAGTGTCGAGGTACTGAGCGTTCACTGCAGTCAGTCTTTCACCATCACTGAGTTTGAGTATCCCTGGGCATTTCTAACAGCCTCCAGATAGAACAGGCTTCTTGCTTTACGAGGTACATTGAGTGATCAGGATGCAGTTATATATATTACCTTTTGCTAGTGAGTATCGTATTGGTATCCAACTACTTGTACCAAAAATGACCATCACATTGATGTATGTAAGATAACATACAAGAGACCAAACAGCAAGTTCATTTTTGATTGTTTCCATTGTGTTTCAGAATAAAGACTGGGAATGGGAACTCAGTAAACTGAAGGTGTATGTGATGTTGAGATGCACAAGACCTTACTGTCCACATGGTGGCACTCGCGTCTTTGTGTGCGCCTGTAACAAGCGCTTGCAGTAAGGTAATCACAAATTTGTGCTTGCAGCCCTCTAGCCTTAATACCTAGTGGGACTCTTCTGACAAAGATTTCTCATGGTTTGGTAGAACACGGAGTCCATTTTTTAACTTTGTTCTATCGAATTTGTTTAATGATTAATAGATTAGAAACTTTATTTGCTCCTGATAACCCAAATTCAGTTAAGTAATGAATGGTCCCATTGTTGTTAGGTAAGTAGGTTTGCCTTGTATTTCATTCTAAGACTTAATCGTGGACATTCCCTTTCAAGTGATCATTGACAAAATGTGGTATCAATCACTCAAATGTGAACCATTATTAAGAAATAAGAAACTAAAGAATTGAGACTCCCTCCACCTATTCTTAACTGCAAGTCCTCCTAGATTAATGTGCAGGAAAGTGCTTCAAAAGCTTTCCCCAGGCAGTAATTTCCTAGACGCGAGTCTCGTTCGTGTGCCTTAGTCCTGTGCATGATGATCACATAGCCACACATAGCGGGTGGCAGGAAACACAAGGAAAAATAATTTGAGATGAAGCCCATTCTGTGTTCAGTCAGAAGATGATAAAAGAAATTTAACATATAAGCCCCAACACATTTTTTGTAGCCCGTTTCATTTTGAACTTTAAGTGTCCCTCTGAAGATCTTCCCCTGCCAAAGGCCTTCACTGTGCCCTCTCCTGCTCTCTCCTTAGACTGGCTCCAGGTGTGTAGCAAGAAGAGTGTGCTAAGCCTATGGTCCACCCCGTCTTGGGTAAGCTATATCATTCTGGGGTGCTGGGCCCAGGGGGAGCTCTGAGATCCCCCCGCCCCCAAGAAGAGCCTTGCTGTTGGATATCTGGACATCTTTCCATCCTTGGGGAACAGCTGAATTCCCAGGGCTGAGGGACCCCCACTTCTCTCTACTCTTAGATTCAGCAGGTTTTTAGGGGGTTCTAACATTCTCCTGCCCATCTAGGGGATAAGAGACCCGTGAAGTTTCAAATCCCGTCATGTTTCTATACCCAACCCTGGAAATTATTATTTAGAGGAAAACCATTCCAGATGCTTCTCGTGGAAGCCAGAACCTCACCTCCTGATGCTTAAACCAAAGCTGCTGTTCACTCAGCACTACCCTCCTTATGTTTGTCTTATTGTTTTGTTTCGCTCCTGTCTATGTCATGATCTATGTTTGTTTTTTTTAAATTCAAATGGGAAAGTTAAAAAAAAAGGGACCGTATTTATTAGATTCCTGAACGTGTCCAATTCTGTTCTTTTTTTTTTTTTTTGCTTTTTGAAAGTGTTCTCTTTTTTTTTTAATGTTTTTTTCTTTTTTTTTATTATTAGTGAAACACCACGAGGTACAGTTGTAGATTTACAATTTTTTGTGCTTGGGTTTCGATTATACAATGATCAAATACCCAACCCTCCACCAGTGCCCATTTTCCACCACCATGGATAATATCCCCCCGACCCCCATAATTCTGTTCTTAAAACAGTGAACCAGAGCAGGATGCAGCCACGGGATGTCCAGTGCCGGGACAGCTGCTGTATTCCTGCCCTACTAGGAATGACCCTAAAGAAATGAGGGCAGTGCGGAAGTTATGTAGGGTGTTAGGTAGGGTGAGGAAAGCCATCATAAAACATCACAACTTTCTCTTCCCCATTTGCCGTTCCCTACTACTACCAACCTGTCACTAGTGTGTCTTTCTTTTTCAATCTCACCGATGACTCTCAAACGCATCTTCTTTCCTTCTCTTCTGCTCAGGAACTGCTTCTGTTTCAGCTTCTTCTTCATTGTGCTCCTCATTGCTGTCCCTTTTCAATCTCCTCCAGTAATGTCTACGCCAGCTCCCAGGAAGCTCTGCTTTAAACTTTGCTGCCACCTCCCCCCCCCCTTCCCCAAGAGGGAAGGTCAATGCTCTGACAACATGAACAATCTCCTCTCCACATCTCTCATTCCAAGCTCATTTCCTGCAATTACCTCCTGCCCCATCTCCCATACATTTATTTCTATTGGAGAAACCTTATCTTTCTTTTTTTTTTCAATTTTTTTTATTAGTGAAACACCATGAGGTACAGTTATAGACTTACAAATTTTTGTGCTTGGGTTTCAGTTATACAATGATCAAGTACCCATCCCTCCACCAGCATCCATCCTCCACCACCACGGGTCCCAGAATCCCTCCCACCCCCCACTCCCCCATCCCACCCTGCCTCTGTGGCAGGGCATTCCCTTTTGTTCTCTCTCTCTCCTTTTGGGTCCTGTGGTTTGCAAGAGAGGCACTGAATGGCAATCATGTTTGGTCTATAGGCTACTTTCAGCATGCTTCTCCCATCCTGGGAGGATCCTCCCAACACCCTTTATTTGGTGCTCCCTTCTGTATCTGAGCTTCCTTTTCCCATAGCACGTGTGGCTGGCCTCGAAGTCATGGAGCAAAATTTCTGGTACTAATCTCGGCCACTCCTGAGTGTTAAGTCTCCCATTTTGTTACTTTATGTTCCCCAGATGAATGCAATTTTTCTGTGTCTATCCCAATCTTTCTGACTCCTTTCCCTTAACATGATACTTTCCATGTAGTACCACTTGTATGTAAATTTCATGGCTTTGTCTTTTCTAACAGCTACATAGTACCCCATTGTGTAAATGTACCAGTTTCTTTAACCAATCATCTGTTCTCGGGTACTCAGGTTTTTTCCAGATTCTGGCTATTGTAAAGAGTGCTGCAATGATCGAACAAGTGCAGATGTCACTTCGACTATACATTTTTGCCTCTCTGGGATATATTCCCAGGAGTGGTATTGCTGGGTCAAATGGGAGATCAAATTCTAATTTTTTGAGAGTCGTCCATACTGTTTTCCAAAAGGGTTGGACCAGTCGGCATTCCCACCAGCAGTGAAGGAGGTCCCTTTCTCGCCACATCTGCGCCAGCACCGGTTGCTTTTGTTCTTTTGGATGTGGGCCAGTTTCTGTGGTGTGAAATGATATCTCATTGTTGTTTTGATCTGCATCTCCCTGATGGTTAGTGATGTAGATCATTTTCTCATGTGCCTTTTAGCCATTCGGATTTCTTCTTTGTGAAAGTTTCTGTTCATTTCCTCGCCCCATTTTTTGATGGGGTTGGGTGTTTTCTTCTTGTGGAGTTCAACCAGTACCTTGTATATCCTTGATATCAACCCCTTGTCGGATGTGTACTTTGCGAATATCCTTTCCCATTCTGTAGACTGTCTTTGTATTGTGGTCACTGTTTCTTTGGAGGTGCAGAAGCTTCTTAGTTTAAGATGGTCCCATTTGTCTATCTTTGTTTTCACTTGCTTGGCCAATGGCGTGACATCTTTGAAGATACCATTAGCTTCAATATCATGGAGGGTTTTGCCAACTTTGTTTTCAATAAACTTTATGGATTCCGGTCTGATGTTGAGGTCATTAATCCATTTTGATCTTTTGTGCATGGCGTTAGGCAGAGATCTGAGCCTACTTTTTTGCATGTAGCCATCCAGTTTTGCCAGCACAATTTATTAAAGAGGCTTTCCCTGCTCCACTTCACTTTTCTTGTCCCCTTATCAAAGATTAGATGATCATATGCTTGGGAGGAGATGTCAGTATATTCAACTCTGTTCCATTGGTCTACAGTTCTGCCTTTGTTCCAGTACCATGCTGTTTTAATTATTACTGCTTTGTAGTAGAGCTTGAAGTTAGGGAGGTTGATTCCTCCCATTTTCTTTTTCCCAAGAATTGTTTTAGCTATTTGTGGGGGCTTAAAAAACCTTATCTTTCTTAACCTGAAAAATATTCCATGGATCTTTTATGTCCATGTGACAGTGTCTTGTACTCTTGGACGTCTTTCTTGTCCCACAGAAATGACTCATTGCTCTCTCTGCTGCAGTCATGATTTCCTCAATGGTAGCTGGGTCCTCATCACTCTGGTCTAGCCACAGGCTCAGTCGCCAGCTTCCCTGTAGCTGATGGGTTCTGGAGAAATGAGACTGTCTTATTCACCTTTGTAACACCATTTTCTGCCATCATAGCTTCCACGGATATTTGCTGGTAAATGAACAAAATTCTAGTAGTTTATGAAATATACATCACACATAGTTAAGTCCACACACATACATACATTTACACATATGCAAAACCTTCCAGGTTACCCACACACATTTTATCTATTTCATATTTATATCACAAAATTTCAGTAGCTACTGATATTTCTCTTGAAACCATTCTCTTAAATGCAAAGTTCTTTTAATTTACTTTTTTTAAAATGAATCACCGTGAGATACAGTTACAAAACTTTCATGTTTGAGTTTCAGTCATACAATGATCCAACACCCATCCCTCCACCAGTGCACATTCTCCATCACCAATGTCCTTGGTACACCTCCTCCCTTTCCAACCCTCCCCT